TGTGAGGTTGAGTTTGTTCCAAGTGACTTGAGAAAGCAGATATTAAACATATTTGAAAACTGTGCCGGATAACTTGTAAGAAATTGTGGTCCATGGTTATATGATTCTATATCATGTAACAAGATGATGGGAAATGAAGCCCATCTTCCATCTGTAGAAGAGAAAAGAAGGGAATGTTTGCTCAGAACACCTACCTGTCGGGCACCTAACAGCTTCTGGAACTGCTGGATTCATCTTTGATGTCTTCTTAGATTCCAATTCAGCTGACATTTATTGAGCATTACTATGAGCTAGAAACTTTAATATATTACTAGTTTACTCCTCACAGAATTCCTGGGTTAGGGGGTGAGGGGAGTGGTGCAGGGCTTGTTACTGAAATGCAGTCATTTAGGTTTAGAAGAGCAAACTGCTTTGCCCAAGGTCACGTAGCCACTTTCTCATGGCAGTGCAGGGACATTTTCTAGATTTTTTTCTTTAGATTTTTTTTTCACTCTGGTGATGTTAAATACATCATGTGTTGCTATGGTAGCCGGTCTTTTGATTGAATCCAGAGCAATGCAAAGGGTAAAAACAAAAATGCATATTGTACCCAGGCAGACCCCAAGGTCATGTTCCTTGGTGTCATCCTCATCGGGGATGATACCCTTCAGTCTCCTGGGGAACTGAAAGTAATTAATTACTGAAAGTTAATTGTGTGATCACCGACAGCGGCCTCTTGAGCAGTGAAGTTATGTGCGGGCGGGCAGTTGTCATCTCAGATTAACCAGGGTCACTAGAAACATAGTCAGAGTTTCCATAATACTCTTTGTGACTCATAGCAACTCCAGGCAGTTGTCTAGATGGAACTTTGGATAGGGCCTGAAGTGCTTTATCAGGATTCAGCACATTATATTAAAGTAAATCTTTATTCTTCTTCCCATAAGAGACCAGTGGGAATATCCCTCCCTCTTTGTGGTGGAAAGGAGTCATTTGAAGGGAGGTTATCTCCCAGGGCCATTGCTTGGCTATAAAGCTCTGGTCTTAGCTGGCCCCATCCTGAATGAGCCTGATCTCTATCTACATGGCTTTTCCCTTGTTTCAGTTTTCTGGCCTGAAGATTATAAGAATCCGTGCCCATAGAAAGGATCAGCTGTCTGCAGGAAATCTGCCCAAAGCCAACTCACAGTGTAATATAGAGACAGTTACTGATAAGGTGAGGGTGACTCAGTCTATGGCATCAGGAAACAACCCACTTAAAGTATAACAAGTGTAAAATGATCTGTAACCTGGAAGTTTTAACTTCAGAGAGTCTGTTAAAATGAGAGGAGATCTTATACTGATAATAGTATAAGTACAAACAGATGTAATCTACAAAAGAGACCTGAAACAGAAATTCCCCAGCCCTCCTTGGTTTTCATCCTCAGTCCACGGCTCCCTGATCCTTGTTGCTGGGGCCACTTCAGTAGGCCTCAGAGGCTGAATCTGAACTTGTTCTCCAGGACGTCTCCTGACAATAGGCAAGAAGAAGTTTACGGCCCTCTTGTCTGAGGGCCCATTGCAAATTAACTTTGCTATCCACACGTTCTTGAGGGGCACTGTGGCATAGTGGTTACTGTCGTGGGTTCTAGGTTCAAATCCTGACTCCCCCTGCGGCCTTGGGCAACTCATTTAACTTTTCTTTGCCTTGGCTTCCTCATCTGTAAAATGGATATAACAGTGGTTGTGCGGATTAAATGAGCAAATATACATAAATCATATGAGGGAGTGGCTGACATTTAGTAAGTGTCAATAAAAGTTAGCTATTCTCAACACCATCATCCCCATTATCACCCCAGGCATCTGTGTTCCTCACCTGTACCATAATTCTGTCTCAGTAGCCCACTTCCATATCTGGACTCTGTGAGGCTTGCATTTCTCTGGCCAGGTCTCTCTCCTCCCCAGGAAGTAGTGTCTTGCCTTTAACTGGCAGCTCACCTGGCGTCTTGTGGGTCCCTGCTCAGGGTCATGCACAGGGAGACCCCCATCTTCCAGAGCACCTTGTTACCTCCTGCTGCACCTTCCCATGCTAGCTGCTCGCTGGATACCATGGTCAACCTCTGGGCTCAGCTGCCTCCTAGCAACTGCAGGTGGATTTGCTGCTTCAGCACCTGACCCCTCACTGTGGGTCTGATGCCACGTTAAGCCCTCTGGCCTTAGGAGGTAACTGGGCCACACTCAAATATAAAGAACTTGTTGATGACCAGGGACAGGGTATCCTGAATGACGCATCACAGGTAGCTAGCTGATTAGGCAGACGCTTATGGATATAATAAGAGCAACAGTCATTAGCATTAAAAACACTGATAAAAATGTTATCAGTGTTGAGCCCTTCCAGCTTTGCGTGGCTGTGTGTTTGGAAGGGCTCAATACAGATACATTTTTATTACATAAATGTCATATATTTATTGTAGAGAGAGTAGACAATACAAATAAACCAAAAGTTAATTGTAAAAAGAAAACTTCTATAACTCACCTTCCAGACATAACACTTTTAGTCTCTCTCTCTCCACACACACATCCCACACACATAATCACTTTTTTCACTTAATGGATTGTGGACGGCTTTCCATGGCATGAAATACGCATTTATATCATCAAATATCGAGCAATTCAAAGTGATTCTGAAGGTGTGTTGTTTCGTGGTCCAGCCCATTGGCACTATGTTACGGATGGGTAGAAAGAGGTTAAACAGGCTGGCTAAGTTTTTGTGGTCCGCAGCTTCTAATTCTGGTAATTGCCACTAGGTTAACTAGGGTGGCTTCTGGCTGGAGCCTCATTTAGAGCAGCTTGGCTTTACGTAGTTATTTGAGGAACGGGACCTTTGGCCCACTTGTTCTGGTCTCTTTCCATTACAAAAACCTGCCACCCACCCAGCAGCGGATCTCGAGTTTCTAGTGATGGCCAGCGTGGGTGGTCAGCATTCTAGGCTCTGTCTCTGTGTCACCGTGGGACCTCTGGTAAGGTACCCCGCTTCGCCACACCTCTGTTTCCTCATCTTTAAATTAAAGGGGTTGGATTTGCTTTTCTTCTGCTCTTACACTGTGATTTCATGTTAAGTAATTTGGCGTGTGATTGAGGCTTGGGAGTGGCTGTTAATTGCGGCTGCCTAGTCTGGTGCCAGGCTGGCTGCACCAGAGGGAGCACTTCGAGTGTATATTCCTGAGCCTCTTGTCCACCCTCCACTGGGGCGAAGCCCGAGAATCTGTATTTTTAACACACCCCTTAGTGATTCTTTCTCATCGCAAGGATGGTACTTACTCCCAAGCTGCCCAGCTGATCCCATCCTAGTCGAACTTCGGTTCTGGCCAAAGGGTTGTAACAAGCATCTTAGCTCCAAATCCTTCACGGAGGCAGCTGGTATTGCTGGAAGCCTACACGGTTCCGGCTTCAGGACCACCAGCAGCTTGGCTTCCAGAGCCCTTGGAGACAGCCTTCCCCAGCCTGTCAGCTTCTCACCCATTGTCAGAGCTCAGCTGGCCCTGCCCATCCTTCCGGCCCTTTTTCCCCACCAGTTTCCACCACGTTCTGCTTCACATGGTTTCTTGCTCCATATGGTTTGGCTCAGGCTGCAGCAGGGTTATGACCACCCTGAGTGTTTGTCCCAGCAGCCTCTCCAAGTGCCCTTGATCAAGCAGGGGATGTTTTTCCTTCCACCTGGTTTCATTTCTCCCTCTGTTCCCTCATCTTCCACGAGACCTGATGTTTCTGATACATACAGTAGATTTCTTTCTAAATCCTTCAGGACGTGAGCTATCATATTAGCAGATTACTCCAGAGACTTCTATACAGAGCTTTTCATACTTAAGGGGCCAGATGCCTTTCCCGTCTGATTATTAAAACACCCCCTCACCACACACACACCTTACACTTAAGCAGAGTGTTGCTAGTTTTAAAAAGCTAGATCCTAGCTTTAAAGGAGAGATTGTGATCTTATTTCACATTTATGTCACATTTATCATTTATAAATGGGACTTCCCTGGTGGCGCAGTGGTTAAGAATCCGCCTGCCGATGAAGGGGACGTGGGTTCGAGCCCTGGTCCGGGAAGATCCCACATGCCACGGAGCAACTAAGCCCGTGTGCCACAACTACTGAAGCCCTCACGCCTAGAGCCCGTGCTGTGCAACAAAAGAAGCCACTGCATTGAGAAGCAAAGATAAATGAATTAATTTTTTAAAAAAGAGATATTTGTTAAAAAAAAAAATAGAAAGAAAGAAAAACCGTCATGCCAGATTTACTGAATAATAATCCTTGGAGGAGGGATCCAGGAGTTTGCATCTCCCAGGAGCTCTCTGGGTGGTTCTTTTGCATGTCGAAGGCTAGGAGCTCTTGCTTTAGACGGTGGAGAGAATTTAGGCCAGAATTTAGACATGATGGGAGGACACTGAGAGAGAGCCTGGTGGACACCAGACTTCTTGGGGTTCGATCCAGCCTCTGTCCTCACTGGCTGTGTGGCTGCTTCATGCCTCAGTTTGCTCACCTGTGAAAAAAAATCTAAAAATACCATATCAATCACATTGGTCATCGTGAAGATTAAGTTAGTTAATATGTGAAATATGCTTAAAATAGTGCCTGCACCTGGTAAGAGCGCTGTACATGTTTGCTGTGAATATTATCCCACGCACAGGAATGGCACGAACAAAGTCAGACAGATGGAGATGGATGGCCTCTTTGAGGGAGGCGAGCAGACCACTTTGTCAGGAGCAGGTTTGGGTCCGTGGTTCTCAAATTATGGTATGGAAAAACAACACGGGGAGCGTGTGAAAACTTTAGTGTCCTTCCGAAGTTTCTGATTTAGTAAACTTGGAATGAAGCCTTGGGACCTGCATTTAAAATTTTCGATACAGGTGATCAGCGCATTTGTAGAACCCCAGGTTTCGGTGGAGGAGGACTGGCATTTAACATTGGAGAGGTCTCCTGGGATTTGGCTGGGGCCATGAAGGGATATGCACGCTAATTGCATGTTTAATATCTGCTTTATTAGGTGTGTCCAGAAAGCAGTAGAAGTATCTGGGAGGTACAATGTGCATCCTACAACAACAAGCCGTTCATGGGCCGGTTTTATGAATGGGAACCGTTTGCAGAAGGTAAGAATAGCCCTAGCCCTGTCCACAGCAATTATTTTCTGTCTGTGCTCCAACCCTGTTGCCCTTTGGTTATTGCTGGAGGAATTGGTGTGATCCTGGCTAGAGTGACAGTGAGGGAGAAAGTGTGACCCCCAGGGCAAGGGGGAGCCGGTAGGGGTCTTTACCAAAGGTAGTGGAGCTCAGGTGACACCTGGACCATCAGTCAGATGGATGAGGCATTGGCTGAAACAAGCAGTGTCTGAGGCTGGCAGGATGAGTGAGACAGGACAGGATTTATGGAATGGGTTAGAGCGAGAGTTTCAAGCTAAGGTTGTGAGGAGTGAACAGGGATGGAGTTTCCCTTTTCCTTGGTTCCTGCTACAAGCACTGGTGTGGTGGCTTAAGAGAGCATGTAGAGTTGTAGGGTTGACAGTTGTTTGGCTTTTGTGCTGGGGGAGCCTTGAATGCTTTTTCCAAAGATGAATTGTGGTAGGTAGCCATTGCCCTTGGGACCAAGGTTCCTGCCTTTTCAAAAGGATGGAAGATCTGATATTGGTAGAGCTTGTCAGTGCTGTTCTAGATCTTGGAGTCACTTTCCTTTGTTGAAGCACAGATGATAACATGGCTTTTGGGCTGAGAAGTGTTCAATTCTGAGATATATCTTCCCATCACAGAGAAAGTAGGCTCCAAAGTGGTGCTGGGTCGAGCAAAACGTGTGGGGTTCAATACCGACAGCCATGCTGGCCAGAGGAGAGAGTGCAGCTGCCCTCAGTGTTCAGCTCAACGTCAGCCCAAGGCAGTGACTGGGGCAGCTGGGCTGGGCCACAACCCAGTGTGTGGAACACGGCTGTTATGTCCGAGCTCTGGAGAAATTGTCCTGGGGAGGGCTTGGTAATGAGTTGTGCGGATTCCATTACAGAATCAATGTCCAAATGTGGAAGGTTGTGCCTAGATGCCAGCCCTTGAGGAGGAGAAGGCAGGATTGATGTCTGCTCTGAAATGGGACGCAGAATTATTCTTGTCTGTGCATTTTTCTCCGAGAAGAGTCTGTAGCCTTGTTTGGGTTCTCAAAGTGGTCTCATGACCACTGCCCACTAGAATCGCTGAAGAACCTTCTAGAAATACTGATGCCTGGGCACCGCTCCCAGGGATTGTGATTTAATTGGTTTGGGGTGCAGCCTGGGCATGAGGATATTTTAAAGATCCCAAGTAATTCTAATGAGCAGCTGGGGTTGAGAACCTCTAATCCAAGAGGGAGGCAGGATTTCAGAAGAGCTGGTGACTCTGGCTTAAATTAAAGGCACAGAAACATGGGTGTTTCATAACCTGTGAAATATATTTTTGTGTCAGAACAACAGTACTTGTCAGTGAGCATTTTGTCTGAGCTGCACCCTTGCTTTATTGCTGGCTGTGGATAATAATAGCTGCTTTGCCGTGATTCACTGGGAAGAAAGGCGAATTCCTCCAGCCGTGCACTGTGCTCCCCATTGTTTCCCCTGGAGCTGGAGCCCCATTGCCCAACCCTCTCTGCTTAGTTCAGGGAGGTCATCTGCCAGCCACCTGATCCTGTCAAACCTGGTAGACTCAGGTCTAATGTCAAAAGCCCTTTGCCTCCTGCAAAGAAAACTTGTGCTGATATTTTCACCTATTATCAATATTCCCTGTGGATGCCTGCTATTGTCTGGTTTATGTATGATTCTACCTTTTCTGTTCTTTTGTTTGCCCTGATGTGTGCTGGACTTCAATTGTGAGTCCTGGCGGGGGGAGGGGAGGAGGCTTTTTGAACATTTGATTTAACTTTTTATTTTGGAAAATTTCAAATGTACGTAAAAATAGAATAGTATAATCGTATAATAATAACCTCCTATTTACCCGTCACTTAGTTTCAACAGTTATCAACTCATGGCTAATCTTTTTCATATATAACCCACCTACTCTTCCCCATCCAGATATGGGGAGCTATTTGAATTCACATTATATAGCATAATTCACTGGTGCATATATTAATTAGAACTCTTGGTTGTTAGTGACCGAAATCCAACCTACCTATATATAAACAAGAAAGATATTTTGTTGGTCATGTTACTGGGAAGTCCAAGAGGTGGGCTGGGATTCAGATATGTCTGCATTCCAGGGATTCAATAATATTAGGACCCTGCTTTTCTCTATCTTTCTCCATCTCTTGGGCCTGTTTACTTACTTCTCAGGTGGATGGGCAGGCTTACATGGCTTTGAACTTGCAATCACAGTGAGAAAGACTCTGTCTTATCTAGTGCTGTGGGTTGAATTGTGTCCCCCAGAAAAGATATGTTTAAGTCCTATCCCTGGTAACTATGAATTTGCTTATTTGGAAATAGGGTCTTTGCATGGTAATTAAGGTGCAAGTTAAGAAGAGGTCATACTGGATTAGGGTGGGCCCTTATCCAATATGACTGGTGCCCTTATAAAAAGAGAAGAGGCACAGAGACGCACATACAGGGAACACTCGGGCACAGAGACAGAGGGAAGATGGCCACGTGACGACCAAGGTGGAGATTAGAGTGATGCTGCTACAAGTCAAGGAGCACCAAGGGTTTCGGGAAAGCACCCGAAACCAGCAGAAGGCACAGAAAGGTTCTTCCCCAGAGATTGCAGAGGGAGCGTGGCCCCGCCAACACCTTGATTTTGAATTTCCAGCCTCCAGGACTGTGAGAGAATAAATTTATGTTGTTTTAAACCACCCAGTTTGTGGTAATTTGTTACAGCAGCCTAGGAAACTAGCATGCCTAGTGATGGTTTCAATCTCAGAAAAACCACGCTGTGATCTTGTTTGGATCATATCCCCATCCCTGGACCTGAGTTCAGGGCCTGAGGGGGTCGTTGGGCTAACTCAGGTCATGTGACCAACCCTCTGGTGGGAAACACACATCCCAGCAAGTGGAGGTGGGGAAGAGGGGATTGTGACAGACAGAAAAACAGAAGCTTCTACAGAAATTATTATCTACTTTTTGGCCATAAGCCCTGAAAGTTTGAAGAAGGCAGTTAGAATCCTGGTGTTTTACAAAGAAAAGAAAAATGCAGACTAGCAGCAGACTAAAGAAATCAGCTATCTTCTACACTGTGTCTGTTACTTTGCCTAGAAAATTCAGCATTCTTTAAAAATATTTATTGACGTTAATATGTCTCACATGCCTAGAAGAGGATCACATAGTCACCGAAGCTGCATTTACTTTGGCTTTCTTTAAACAATTCTTCTTGCTGCTAAGATTGTTTTCTTGATTTTGTCCTCTTTCCTCTTAAATGACTCCCAGGCTGACCAGTGGGAGGAAGACGCTGTTAATGTTCCTGCAGGGTGTTCATACTTTACGGCTGGATTTTGCATTGGGCTCTTGGTTTTGTTTGGAAGCCTACTGCTATTTGCACGTGCCTACTTAGGGAGACAGCTGCACTCATTCAGTCCAATGCCGCACAGTGTAGTAAAAGCAGAGTACGCTCTCTGATAAACACACTAATTTCTCCACATGCTTCTTCTTAGGCTTTTAAATGCATTTCCTGGATATGGTGATCTGTCCTAAGATAACGTGTCTAGGAATTTTTCTCACAGACCTAATACCGTAAAGACGATAGAAGTAGAATTCCAGTGCCTCTGCATCCCTGTTTACTCAGGAGAGTGATCGTTCATGCCTGTCACCCTAGTCCCCCTTCATTCAAAACCACTTTGGGCAATAAATTATATGGTCAACCTAGCTATAATGGGAAAGTCTTCTTTAATAGGAAGACATTTTTTCAGGGGAAATTTTAGGGGAAATTTGTACCTGTTCTCACGACTAGAGTGTTGGGTCTGGGCGGCACTAGAATCTGGAGTTTTTCTGGGTCGCTGTGGGCCATTCAGCAGCAAGCATCGGTCTTACTCCATAAATCAGGGACAGCTTTGTATTGGAGTACTGTAAGTGCACTGTGTGTCGTGATAGCTGAACTAAATAGGGTGCAGATCTAGAAGCTAAAAGTGAGGCTGAGTCAGAAATCGGAGGTTGCTAAGTGGTCACGTGACCAGGGCCACTGTATCTGTCAGGCCTTAGTAGCTTCTGCTGCAGGAACAAAGAGCCCCCAAATCCTAATAAGCAAAGAGACTCCAAATCCCTAATGACATGAACAAAAGTTTGTCTTATGCTCATGCTCCCTGTGTAATAGTAAGTATTCTGCTCATTCGGGGACCCAGGCTGATAGAAGCTGCACCTCAACTTCTGCTTCCACTGAAGCAGGGAAAGGGAGCAAGTGAATCACACATGGGTTCTTAAAGCTTCTACTGGAAGCGATCCCTGTTGTTTCTGCTCACATCTCATTGGCCACGGCAAGTGGCATGTCACACTTAACTTCAAGGGCAGCAGGGAGGTACCCATCCCACTGTGTGCTCAAAGGAGGAGAAATTGAATATCTGTGACCAGCCCTAATGACTAGCACAGGCAGGAAGCTCCAACAGTGCCTTCCTTCTAAGTCCAGGAGACTTTTATTAGGCTGCTTGCAAGGAGAGTAGATTTTGCTCCAGGAAATATTAAACATGCCACATAGTCTCTAATAGCCACAGAGCCCTGAGCCACTGAGAACATTTTTTCTCCTTGACTAAAGCTCTGAGGGGCAGAGGTGGAATGTTGGCGCCCAGGTGCCCAGGTGTGCTGCTGACTCCCCCACCAGTCTGTCCTGGCACAGGTACTCCACTGGCGTGTGGGGCAAGGGCTGCCATAGACATGGACAGTGTTATCCAAACTGTATGACACGAGGAAGGAAGGCTTAGGACCAAGTGCTGGTGAACCTGGGATTAGGATGTTCATGTTTTAATGAAGCATCTTCATTCATTCCTAGGTACCTGCAATTCTCCATCCTACAGCCCACCCCTCCTGCACAGACAGTTCATAGTCATCAGGGACCTTTCAGAGTGGACAGGGAAGGCCTAAGGGTAATGAGAGGAGTTTTCCAGTAATATCCACCGCAGAATCCATTCTCAAACTCTCTTATCTATGCCTAGGAATACCTGGCAAGACTAG